GCTTTCGAGTCTCACCGTGATTTTGTGATGAATTTGGCATGAACATTTTCTTGTTTTCCTGATAGGTTGTGTTTTGGTTTTGTTTTGCTTCTCGTTTTGTTTCCCATTTTCTTTCATTTCCCGCGCCAAGTATTTGTTACGCGCGATGCAGCATTCATATTCCTTTGAATTGTTTTTCTCTCATGTTATTCTGGTAAAGTCTTGGTGGCATATCTTCTGGGAAAGACGTCTTTTGGTTGAGATATCGGGTGTTAGCGAAGTTTTCAGTGAGAGACTGTTGCGAGCAGGGGGGATGTTAGATATACTCGCAGCAGTATCTGGTCGTGAGGATCCCAGGGGATACGTGTTGGGAATTTCGTGTGTTGAAGGTTACGACCGGCGCAGGTACGGGGACCCTTTGGGCGTGGTCGGTGCGATGATGAGGCTTGCGTGCGTGCTGCGCACTTCTTCTTCTTCTTCTTCCCTCTCTCTCTCCACCACCACCACAGTCTCTCTCCAATCAAGCTTCCTTCTCCCACTCTCTCTCCAACTCTCTCTCAACCTCTCTCTCTCGGCCTAACACGGCCGACTTCCCAGTGTCCCAAAGCAACGTCCAGAACGTGCTTGCTGCACCCCGCGTAGTTTACCTTTCACCGGGATTGATTGCGGGTGGAGGGTGGCCGTTGGAACAGTCTTCGTGGCGACAGAACTGGCCGGGGCTTGCTGCGGGGTATGCCGAGTGATGAATTCTTGGTGCAACTCGGATATTTGCACTGCTTTGTGCCCACCCCGTCCGTGCTGTGGGTTTCTGCTGCTGGTGCTGATGCTATATGTGGTGTAAGGTGGCCGTGCCGTTTTTCTAGGCGGGGTATGTTGTTTGCTGCGTACCACACAACCGCCGGCAAAGGCAACTTGATTGCTCTACGCACTGCTATGAGACCTCGATACTACCACCTTCGGCACGCAAAAGAAGGCCAGCACACTCGCTCGCTAGGAAGAGCGCTCGAGAGCGGGCTCATGGAAGCATTTGTGTACGATTGCTACATTGCTGTGTGGGAAGATCTGAGATCTGAGACGAGAAAGAGAACCGGCGAAGCGGCGGTGGGGGGGAAGAAACGGCGACCGGGCACTGCTGTAGAAGCGAGTAGGGCGGCCGAGGCAGCGCTTGTGGCGAACTATGTACCCGGCTGATGTTGTTGCGCCTTGTTTCCCTCCCTGCCGTATGCTATACTCCTTTATGTTTGGCCTTTTTATTGCCTTCGGCCTCTGTGCTGTGTTTCTTTTTTTCATGACCTCCCTGCCTACTCTGCTGTGTTGGGTGCCTTGATCTCGCTTTGCTGTTGACTTTGTTTTTGTACGTCTGGCTGTCTGCCCATCTGCCGCCTCTTTGCCCTGTTTGCTCCGTTACTCCCATGCCCTGGTGCGCAGTACCTGGTGCTGGTACTTTACACTTTACCCTTTGATTTTTTCTTTGGGCGGGTGTGGGAAACGTCCTCCTTTATTTTTCTGTTATTTTTGTTTTGTATTATTTTGATCGGTGTCCGAGGGCTCTTTTCTCGAACGGTCCGTGCGATAATACCTGTTATTTTTTTTCTTTCTATCATATTGTTTTCTTTGTCCGAGTGGTGTGTGCCCTATTTTTTTTTTTTTCTCGCGGCGTCGTATGTGCCGGGTTTTGAGACCACGGGCTCCCCATTTTTTGTGGACTATAGAGCTAATGTGAGAAACAACAACAACAAATAACAACACCGGTCGCCCCGGTGGTCTAGTGGTACAGTTCCACCGATTGTCCCGCCGATTTCAGTTGACCGGCCATAACTTCA